ATCTCTCCTACTCCTTCCCATTCTGGGGAAAACTGTCATGCTATTTTTTTTCTTGCATCAACACTTGGAAGAAAACTGGCTAAACTCAATTCTAGATCATTTCAAAAGGAAACACTTATCCAGCTTCTCTCAGGGTTGCTCATGGAGAGGCCTAGCTTCAGTAATTCTTCAAGCTTAGCCACACATCTCTCAAAAATACCATGGGAATGTAGAATTCTAGGACAGAAATTCATTCTAACAGTAGTTATTACTTTGTATTGATTTTTAAAAAAATCTTGTAGCAGTTACAGCAGGTTCTAAGCAAAGAGCCCCCCCAACTGATCAGAGTAGATTTCATCCAGTGATAAAGACTTGTCCTGCTTGCTCTCAGCTTCTTGGGTTCCATCATGTCTCATTTCTTTGGTTTGTTTTAAAGCCTTTGTTTCTGTTGTCTGTAATTTCCTGGATGTTACTGGGAATAGAGGAAGACAGGAAGAGAAGAACACAGGTTATGGATTTGTAGTTTGGGCAGTGACGTCAAAAGGGAGCAGGGGCTCAAGGGTTCTTATGCAGAGAACAGAGAGAGGAAAGGGAGGCTTATGATAGCTGGGTCTATAGAATTGTTTAAGAAATGTTGTAGTGAATTTATTAAAGGGTGCCATACCTTGCTGAAAGTGCTATTTAGAAAGTCATATATCTAGGGAGACCAAAAATTAGGGGGGAGGGTCTGGGTGGCTCCAGCTAGCACTACTATTAACTGTCTGGAGGGAGAGGAACATTGGTGAGGTGCTGTCCTCTGCTTCTCTCTTTTTAAAAAAACTCCCTTACAAAAACACCCACAACAACCCCCTGCAAACAAACAGCCAGAAAAAGCCCACAACCCACCTTTTAAACTGAAAGAGAGATTGTCTGAGGGGGAAGTGAGGGGAAGATGTTGACAGGCATGACATTATGTAAACAGCAAGGGCACAACTGAGCTTTGTGGGAGAGAGAATGAAGTAGTAGAAAAGAGGGTGAACTGGAGCAGCTGGTGTGTACTGGGGACGTGGGTGCATGAAGGAAGAAGTATTAAGCCCCTGTCCTGGTAGAGGAGAACTGTGAAGCATGGAGTGGGGTAGGGAATCCAGCCCATACCTGCAAGTGAAGAATGGAACACTGAGTAGAGAATGGGAAAAGAGGTATTTGGCACAAAGTAAGACAGCGAAGGTTCAGGAACCCTGAAACAGAAGGACAGGAGCTCTTTCAGAAGGAGCTTGTTGGGAGAGGAGGATGCTAAAGCAACACAGGGGGTCCCTGGTATGCATGAAGTACGCTTGGGCTGTAGCATGATTATTTGATTCGTATTTTTGTTTTGTTCCTCCCTGCCGTCTCTCCCTGCTGTAATGCAGGTTTAAACAGCCCCTTCCCCTCTCCTGCTGTTAGTACAATTGTACATACTGCTTTGTGCCAAACAGAAGTGGGGGAAATCACCCATGTTTGGGGGAAAGAGGGAGGGAGTCCAGTAAAAATGTCTTTATTCTGGATCTGTTCCCAAGAGGGGCCATGTAAACGAGGGCAAAACTAGTAGCTGTGGATTGAGGAAATGAGATTATGACTAAATGTGATGAGTAATTAAGGGGGGCTGAATCTTTAAATATGGCAAATACCTGAGCTGTTGAATTCTCTGGGCTTGAGAGCTTTGCTTGAAATATGTGCTACATGTAGTCTTTTGCAGCTGTCCATGCTCTTTTGTGGGGTGGAATCACAGGAGCAGAAGAATAAGGACTGCTGTTCAACCTACACTTTTTCCTGAAGGAGAGGCTTGCCACACATACTGTCAAACATTATATGCACATGGTTTTGTTTTGACACTCTCTAGTTCAGTAGGTGACCAGACCTGCTGTACCAAGTCTGTGTGTGACAAGATTCTGGGGCTGTATCATCTTTCAGAGAACCTTTTTAATTGAAGCAGAGAAGCATCCTCCCCCTCCCTCTTCCTCCAGGTTTGTGTCTCTTCCAGTTCCACACGAATAGCATCTAGCTCTGGCCAAATAATACATTTGCTTGGACAGGATATAACTTTGGGCAGAGATAATAAACACCTCATCAGTGAAAAGCTGATGATTATTGGGAGCCTCCTGACCTTTCTGCTGTGTCTGTCAGCTGTGTCAGCATTCTCAAATGCTCCCACTTCTCTAATTTGCAAACTACTTGGGTCCAGCGTGGGAAGCCGGCAGGGGACATCCCTGGATGGAGAGCCAGGCATGTGAGAAGGCGGAGGAGATGGCAGCTGTAGCTGTATTGAGAGGACAAATAGCAGAGAGAATTTGTGGTTGTTAGGAACTTCAGAAACCTCTGTGTACCTCCGGTGGTTTGGAAAACTGTATTTTACTGGTCAAAATATTAGAGCATCCATTTACTCTGCTAAATGCATAGTTGATCACAGGTGACCTTTGGTTATTACTACTTTGGTTATTACTACTTCGGGTTAAATTTGAACTGACAGCCTAGGGGTGAAATGCTTCAGATTGTGTTTCTAAGTTCTCTCAGACACCTGTTGCTCTGTTCTTACTAGGATCTTCTTCCCTTCTCCTCAGCTGCGGGGATACAGATGCATCCGCTACAGGTGTTAATGGATATCAATGATCCTTGCTGGGAAAAGGATGAGAACTCTCCTCCTCTTTCCAGATCATTAAGGAGCAGAGCATTTTAGTTTTGGAGTCTGGGGGAACCATTGCTTTTATTTCTCCCAGCAGGAGCTAATGCAAACAGACTTGGATCAGCAGTTTTAATGGTAATACCTGTACTATAACGTGCAACTCGACAAAAGCCATTGCTTTGTCAAAAAGATCTAATAAGAGAAGTTTGAGTTGAAGCTGATTTATTTGCTTATTTTTACATTTAATGTGTTACACTCGTTTTGAACTAAGGTAAATGGAGATGATGTTACCTTGAACAAGAATTCTTTCATCATGTTCTGTGGGTTATGGAAACTCCCATAAACTGTCTACAGTAACCAGCACTCAAGCTTTCTCTTTTGGTTAGAATTGAGGTTGTATCTCATGGAGCTTGCATTTTGAAAGACTGTAGTAATACCAAGCATACAGCACTACTGCTAATGAGCAAAAAAATGTACCGTAACAGGTTTCTGTTCCTGACTGGTGTTTCAACTATGGAAATAATCCTGTTGAATAAAAAAAACCTGCTCATGCTCTGGTATTTGACTTAACTGGTGATGTACCTCACATGGTGGGGAGTGGGTAAGGAATTTGTCTGGCGTATTTAGCGCTGTATACAGTCTACTTCTGTCCATGATATGGAGAACCTGATGACTTTAAAGCAAACTAAAATCTATTTCAGTTATAGGTAAATGGTTGCAAAAGGAGGGGAGGCTGATGCAACCAAAAAAACCAGTGGTGTCCTGGACAGAATTTCAAGGTGCAGCCTGGTTTACTTACCAAAATCCACGGATGAGTGTGACAACATTCTGTAGATCTCAAGCTGTCTTTTTGTAACTAGTAGATGTCACAGTAAGGACACCTTGTAAAACACTGCAGATTGCCTTAGTGGCACTTCACAGTAATATCAGTGATAAAATTTGGAATGTCTTTAAAATACTACTTCAAAGGACTACAGTGGAACCAGTCATTTCTCCCAGACTTTCTGCTCACAATGCTTCATTCATAAGTCTGTGCTAGGAGCTGCCTTGTGAGAGTACCTGTTATTCTCCATACAACAAAGTTATTCTGAAAAAGCTGGTACAGGTACTGTGGTAGCTTTAGTATGTGGATTATAGAACATTTTAAATGATCTTAGCTTCCATGGGGTCCTAACTGTGCTTTTATGTCATTGAAATACCTGAGCAGCAGCTGACAGCCCTCATGTTTTGGAAAGGTGGAGAGCAAGAATGGGGGCCGACAGGTAGCCGCTGCCTCCCTGCCTGCAGAACATCCGAGCAAGTGAGCTTGCACCAGGAGAGGCCCTTGAGCTCTCTGTTCCTTCACTTGGCTCTCAGTGATCCGCAAACCCAGGGTGGCAGCAGGCTCCTCCTGTTGTCCACCAGCTCTGTCCTTCCCCCTTTGTCAGAGGAGAGGAACTTTTTCAAAATATGGCTAAGAACTTGCTCCTTGGTTTAGCCTCGTTCTCCAACATAAAATTCCTTTGTTTAAATGGACTGACAAGGGAGAAGAAACCTAAATAACTCAACTAATTCCACTGGTTAATATCAAACGTGTTGCTGTCATCACTTGACTTGGATTTCTATAGTGTGATTTTTGGAGGGTTTATCAGGTACCAGTAAGTTAAATGTCCATTGGAATGAGAATATATACTGATCCTCTTTTACCTGCTTAAGGCTTTAGCATGATCTGTGATTACAATTTTTCTTAGTTTCCTTGAATTAAGGGGAAAGATGGCATTGCCAGTTCTGAAGAATTTTCTAACTTTTCTGGATTTCTATGTACATACAAATCCAGACTATCCACCTATAGCTGTTTTTTTTGCTTCAAAGCTGGGTGAAGGCCAAGCATTTGAGTTTAAATGATGGAATGTTTTATTAATGAAATTATCCAAATACTGGGTAGCAGGAAAATCATAAATTTGTTGACAATACTGTTTCCATATTAAAAGCACAAAACTAAGCCATACTGTAGCGTATCATCCAGCGTTGGATACATGAGGAAGTCTTAAATAACAGCAGAAAAGCTGTTCAGAACTCAGTCTCCCTTAAGCATGCTGGTTCATGGGAAGGATATGTTTTGGGATCAGTCTAACCAGAGGCATAAGTTTTTTCTAACTCAAGTCAGTGAGTATAATAATGATGAGAAAACAATGCCTGGAGGAGCAGCTCACGTCATCTGCATTCTGATTGCTGCCTTCTCCTGTCCCTACCTATGAACGGGTTGGCAACTGTCATTTTTCCTTTTTTCCCAGCAGCGTCACTGGGTTTATGTGAGTGTGGACAAATCTCAGCTCACTGAGGTTTGATCTGTTTTCTAAATCTGCTTAATAGCCTTTACTGGACTTAGGAAATACACGTAATCATGTTGGTCTGTTTGTGCTACAGGAGAGGAATTGCAGAGGTGTAGAGCTGCAGCAGCTGTCCCTTACCTGGGAGTGGGGAAGGATCGGCTCTGTGACTGCCTGTGGCTGTTCACTTGTTTAACCTGCAAGTTGCTTTTCTAGCATTTATACCTAACTTTGACTCTCTTTTTGTGAACAGTGCTTCTAAATGTTAAGGATACCACTCAAAACCACTTGAGGCAAATGTTACCTGTATTTTGTTCAATAGGTATTATAAATAATTTTATATTAGTTACATTTACATTCCACTCACTGGCAGATGTGTAGTAAAAACTAATTCCTAGACAAACCAAGACATACTGACTGTGCGTAGGAAAACAATGCTTTTGAAAGGTACTGCTGAAGGACAGTTCCTTTGAACTGGAGACAGTGTTAACATAACTGATTTACAGCTTGGAAACTCTGATACTCTGTATTAAGTAGATAGCTGCTTCTTTGTATTTAGTGAATGACTTAACTTCTTCAAACCCTTGTCCAAAGTGCCCGCATAATCAATTTTTGTATGTTGCAAAAAACCTCTTTCCTGAAAGCTGAAGTCTTTATTTAGTAAAAGGTAATGGCTTTTTATATGTATATGTTGCTTAGATGATTTGCTCAGATTTACGTCTGTTGCATAAACAGCTGAGAACTTTAGTAAGTGCCTTGCTACTACTTTGTTTTAAAGAGTAATTTTATTTTCATAACATTTTTCAGCACAAAGAATACAAATAAATACAGAAATACTGTGGGTTTAAGGTAGAAAACTAAGTCAGTTGATGCAGAAAAGAGGTTAGTCTTGTCTTTTTTTTTTTTTTTTTTTTTTAATAGAAGGACCTGTGTTTCACTGGTGTATCTGGAGTAGTTCATTATAGCAGTTACTACAATTCATTGTAGTAGTAGATTAGCGTAAGTACTAGATTAGCGCAAGGAATTTGGTTGGTCCATTAACTAAGTAACAAGTAGCACAATGTAGTATATTTTTGTGCTGAGCAATATTTTACCTTTAATTAAATAGATTATCAGCTAAGAAATGGGTAACTGCCTAGTGACTTTTATGTGAATCTCTTTCAGGCACCTTTTTGGGCATACATCCTGGGTGCATTAGGACTTTTTATCTACCAGTCTCTGGATGCCATTGATGGAAAGCAAGCCAGAAGAACAAACAGTAGTTCTCCTCTGGGAGAACTCTTTGATCATGGTTGCGACTCTATTTCCACAGGTAGTCTTAACCTACTGTTACCCATGCTAGTTTTAATAAAGTTACCTGTTTTCAAGAGGAGCGGATTAATCACAGATTTATTTAAGTTGGAAAGGACCTCTGGAGATCATTTAGTCCAACCACCTCCTCAGAGGAGGGTCAGCATGTTCCCTTTTTTTAGAATAACTTCACCATCTTCTGGTCACTGCAGCCAAGGCTGCCCCTCACCTTTGCATCCCTGACCAGTATCAGGGAGGGTGTTTCAGAAGTACCTTTAGCAGGCGTTGGGTAACGTGCGTTCTGCTCTTACTGTGCATCTTCACATACAGTGTTATTTGAAGCAGCTAGATGGTGAACAAAGAATTCCATAAAAGCGTGGTTAGAGATTTTTTACTGTGTTTTCGAGTAGGGTACAGATGATGCCTAATAAAGGATTTTAAGGACCTAAAAAGACTGATGTTGGCATGTGAAACTTTGCTTTAGGAGTGAGGTGCCAAAATATCAGTTTGGTAATAAAAAAAGTTGATGTAGAATCCTTAAAAAGTAAGCCTTGCATAGTTGTACTTTCCATAACTTAGCTGCGGGTGGTGGCAACGCCTGTACTTCTGTAAAAGTTTAATGGCTGAAACATTTGCCTTGGGAGTTGGTACGTTCTTTATGCCTCACTTCCCAGAGAAGTGCAACTACCAGTCTCTCTGAGCTGGGCCTTTCAGTTGAAGCTGTCAGTGCTGCAAAGAACAGGAGATGACAAGGCCAGGAGAAGGGAGAACTACCACTGTAGGCTAGAAGGCAGGGCCCTTGCCTGGAAGAAAAGGAGTCCTGTGTTTTGGTCTCTCCTGCCAGGACTGTGCCTGAGGTGAGCTACTCAGTAAAGTATCAGTCATATCATTGCTTTGTTATAGTCGTGTAAAATGCCTTATGATTTTTATTTTTTTGTTTTGCTTTATTTCTCTTAACTGCAAGCAGAGGGTATATGACTAACGTGTTCATTTCTGCTTTTCAGTATTTGTTGTCCTTGGACCCTGCATAGCAATCCGACTAGGAACAAATCCTGACTGGTTGTTTTTCTGTTGTTTTGTGGGACTGTTCATGTTCTATTCAGCTCACTGGCAGACATATGTATCAGGCATACTAAGGTTTGGAAAGTAAGTAGGTATCTTCAGAAATACATGTGGCTTAATGTCTGAGACCGCTAGCTACTTGATTTCCATTTCTTCTTGCTTTTTTCCTTGCTGTCACTTCCTCTTGCCTTCTTCCTCATCTCCCTTACACCCTAGCAGACTTGTGTTTTACCTGGCAAGAACTTCAAGACTCTGCATAATACTAAGTAGAGGACTTGTTCTTTTAGCAGCTGATTTTTAGCTGTGGTATGTTTTCTTTGCATGTGTTTGGCTCTTCTGTCTGTGGATTTGTTCTCAGAACCCATACAAGTACCATGCAGACTTAGGCCAGAGGGGTCTTGCCTGCAGTGTAACCAAGTGCTCTGTGTAGGAGCAGGGACAGACCAAGCATACGCAGTACCTGCCTCTGTAACCTCCCAGCCACAGAACAGTTTCAGCCAGGGGACTCTGAACCACATGAATTTTTAAAGGAATTCCTCTGCTCATGAGTTTCCCTTCCATAGATATTTTCGTTCTTCCTTTGAATGAACTCTGCATCCATTGCATCCTTAGGCAAGGAGTTCCACAGAGCTATGTCAGTGCTTGAAGAATTACCCCACGTTTATATGGGAGCTTTGCTTTTAATCTGGCTCATACTGGCTTTGATGTCCTTTAGGTTTTGTGTTAGGTCACAGTTCTAGAGTTTGCTGTGATGCTACTTATGACTTGGTAGAAATTTCATCTGTTCTCACTGCAGTGTAGGAGGAGGCGTCATGACATTTATGTAGAAGGTAACAATTGCAACGTAACTCCTCATAGTGTGGGGATTGCTGCACTCTCCCGCAGCTGTGGTGATGCCTAGCCATGGCCTTTTGCTGTTTTTAAATAACGAGCTGCACTTTACTAAAGATTTCTGAAAAGATGAAAAGATCAGAGACTTCTGTAGCAGCAAAATTGGAAATATGTGACAGATGAAGGCTGCCTTTCCACAAATCCCAGTCACTTGCTAAGTCACCTGTTTATAATCCTACTTAGCTCTGACCTGGAAAAAGCACCTTAGCAAGTCTGGGCACACAGGCTGGTGATCAGCTATCCCCTTGCATACTGTTTGATGTCTGAATCAAAAGAAAGCTGTCTCTGTGGTAATGCTAAGTGCTCTTTTTTTATTTTATGATAATACATTTTACCACACAAACTCTAACTCTTCTACCTGCCTACCCATCCTACTTTTTTTAAAGGACATCTTGTGCTGTAAACAAAAATAGATGCTTTAGGGTGATGGCTGAAATAGGCTAATTTCTGTACCTGACAGTGTACTACAATGAAGAGAGATGGACTATGCCATGAGCTCTGGGATTGTGCAGCAATGAGTGCTTTTCTGTGCCTGTCGTTCTTGCGTAAAAGGTGAGAATGATTTCCCTAGATCAGGAAGGCACTGAGGCACCCATGCCACAAAAACTTCTTCATTAAAAAATTAATGGCTTCTACATAAATATAGTGATAATGGACAGTACAAGCAGTTCAGAATGGCCGGGGGTTTCATGCTTACTGTCTGAAGTTCAATAGACACTTTTCCCCAAGATAACTTATTTCTGTTTTGTGAGAACAGGTCAGAGTTGTTAAAAGGCTCAAGATTTTATTTATCTTGAGCATAGAGGTGAGAGACTAAATTAAGGCAATAGTATATTGCTGTAAATATGATAATACTTAACACAGACAGAAGGCTTTTATTGATGCTGTTCATGAATTAGCAGCACTTGGTTTTAGAAGTCAAATGACAGATGAGAGAGTCCTAGCGGTGATGGCCAGGAAGGATCAGAGTAGCTGAGTACTGTGCCACTGTCAGGTCAGGTAGAACACAGCACAGTGTCTGATTAAAATCTTTGGACTCTCAGTTTGGGCTGTGTTGCAACAAACTGTCTGAGCCTCTGTAAAATTAATTACTAAGCATTGGCACGTATAATGACTCAACTTCAAGTTTGAGCCTCCTCCTGCCACCACCACCCGCAAATGCAGTGCAGCTTAGAAACGTAGGTTTTAGTAGTACAGAGCACAAACTCTGAACAGTTGCATATGGACACTTTTGCATGTTACACACAAGTTCAGTGTACACCTGCAGCAACGGCCAGGCAGATGGAACACCCCATCCCTGGTAGAGAGGGAAGAGCCGACTCCCTGCAGCACTGTCCTCTGCCTCCCCTGCACAGACTGTCACCCGCCTTCAAGCCAACGCGTGAAATGGGCAGAAGGTTAAAAGCCTCTACGGGGGTAGCAGGGTCAGCAGGTTCACCCTGCAGCCTGATGGGCACCACAGCTAGTACAGGTGAGGGAGGACTGCCCATTCCAACAGCTGTGGACAGTGATGAGCACCTCAGCATGTCGTCTAGTTGCAGCTTAAATTATGCCTCTTCTAAGATGAAGAGTCTGAAGCTTGTGATGAAACTTAATCAGATTTTATCACTGTCTTTCTGATGAAAAAAGCCAGTTTAGTGTTACTGTGATTATCAAGATCAGATACATGTTTTCCATTAGCCAAGAGTTGATTCCTATCTCCCTTTAGAAATAGTTTCCTGTGCAAACAGTTCAGGTGCAAAGCAAGTAATGATACATGTTGACTTTGGTCATAATACTTTAAAACAGCAAATTTATTCTAACTGCTTAAGGAAATGTTGTATTTTAAACATCCCTTGTCCCTGTTTTCTGGTGACTTCAGAACAAAAATCAGGTCCCTGTCTCAAAACCTTCAGTAGCATAAACAGTACCTTAGATAGGTACTTAGAAGTACACTTCCTTATTTTTTTAATGTATTTTAAAGCTTTATTAAAAATACCAAATCTTTCTCTTGAGCCTCTTCTTAACTTTTTTAATTTATTCAGCTCTTAAAAAATTTCATCAATCAAATACAGAAAGAAGGAATTTGGCTCTATTGTCTGAGAATGAAAAAGATGGAATACAGAGTCCAGACTTTAGGGGGCATACATGGCCACCTATCTTAAATTTTTTGCTATGGAAAAAAGCAAGATATCAACTATATGCCCTTTGAAGCAGGACAGATACTTAGCTATCCACTGATTCAGTCCTCAAGATACTGCCCTTATGTTTTGCAGGCTGTATCTGTCAAGTTTTCATATGATGGCTTAAAGAAATCCCTTCTGTCCCAGGCTGCACGGTCCATACTTTAATATGATATGCTTTTCATGGAAGTGTTTGATTTAATTTACTATGAGCTTGCCTTAAACTTTGATTTTATTTTGATTTGATGCTTACACAGCAACTCGGTAAATTTATACAGAGTTGTCAAATAATTAACAATGTATTCATTAAAGATTTTTCCCCATTACAGTTATATGTAGCTTGCTCTAGATAAGGAGTATATGTTTAATTTTAAATCTTAACCAAAGTTGTGTGCCTCCTCAGTCAAGGAAAATCATATTCTATATACACTGATGTAACTTGAAGTACTTTTAAGGAGATAATTTAAAGTCACTGTGTTTTGATTTCCCCTGTTGCCCGCCTTACACTTATGGCAAAAAGACCTCTTCCTTAACTAAACCTCCCTTTTTTTCCTTCATAGAGTTGATGTAACTGAAGTTCAGATAGCGATAACAATGCTGCTCTTGATATCTGCATATGGTGGCACAGCAATATGGGACCATAAGGTAAGTGTATTAAGTATTCAGAGTTCCTGTTGAGTGTTCAGTTCCTGTTAAGTGTTCACCATTCCGATGGCATTTGAAGCTATCTTGTGCAAGTACCATCGACACCTACTAGTTGTCTAATGTTCTGTTTTAGCTTATTGTCCAAATGTAGGTTAATTTTATGTCGTAGTTAACTTAGGTAAAATGGTGTGAATTCCTACGCACAAATTCAGAGCTACGTAGAGGAAAAAAACCCCATCTGCCACTTCTGATCTGGAACTAATACTCTGCAGATACTTAAGCTTTAACAAATAGTTTTTGCTTGGAGTCTGGGGTTTTTTTGTATTTTATTGTAAGACATACGTTTCTGTTCCATTAAATGACTTATAGGATGCTTTATTTTAAAATTTGCAGAATAAATGCTTTAATCTAACAAAACCATGGGATGGAGTTAGGGGGTTTTTGGTTAAGTAATCTATATTTATGTGCCAGTGGAGATGTCCTGATTTTTAACAGTTATGTCACAGCCAACATAATTGTTAATATCTATATTTCAGGAAATGTGTTCTTTCCATAAGCATTTCCTGATTTCTGTCTTTTATTCTGATCTTTAAAGATGTGCTTCCGTGGACAGTATCAAAAGTATATTCGACTAACATCTTCAACCTTTCTTTACTCATAAATGTATAGTTCTGTTTGATTATAGCACATGGAAGAGGTGAGACCATTCCATGCTATTGATAACAAGTGCAAATTAATCTAAATGTAAACCACCAAATAATTCAAATTAATTCATAAATTTACTTGGCAACTAAATGTTTAGCTAAACTTAATTTCCTTTCCCCATCCTGCTTTTGTTCTATTTTCAAAGAGCTTATTTTCATGTTGAGAAATAAAGTAGGTGCATTAGACTTTAATTATGATTGATTTCTCTTCAGTATTGAAATCTGTGGTAGTTATGCTGTATCTCAAAACAATCTATTTTCAAAAATATAGTCGATGATTTCAATTTATTACTACTTCTTTTTTTTTAAATCCTCTGCTGCCTTTGGAAGTTTCCTTGAAACTGCAATTGATTCTGAAAGGTAACTGTTCAATTAAAATTTGTATCTGGAGACTATTCTAACTGCAAAGATACAGCATACAAATAACGTGTACCAAAACACAAAGCAGGCAGATGGTGTTTGTGTTTCCTGTGATTCAGTGTTGTGTTACCCAGTGAAATAGAAGGAACTATCCTTCCCCCCCCCACGCCTTGGTGATGCAGTAGTCTGTCTCAGGTTTTTGCTTATGTTGTAAAAATATTTGAAGAACATCCTAAGGACAAGCAGTGAGATCTAGCTAAATTCCAAGACCAGAACTTAAGTACTCGGAAGTTGAGCTTAAACATTACAAAAGAAATTAGTCGTTTCCTTAGTAAGGAAACAAATTTCAAACACTGTCCTGAGCTTGTTCCTGGGAAAGCGAGAGTTCAAATAAAACAATTGTTTAGTAGATACCAGTAGCTTCTTAAATCACTTTTAAAAAAAGGTGTTATCCTTAACTTTTAATATCTTTCTCTTGTTTTTTCTGGTCAGGTCCCTTTGGTGGGCTTAGAACTGAAGTTCTTGGCAGTTTTTGGCATACTGTGCGGAACAGCACTTTCTTTTTTCAATTACTTCCGTGTCATCTTTGGCGGAGGGGTTGGAAAGAATGGATCTACAATAGCAGTAAGTTGCTTTAAAATCTGAATGAGATTTGAATAATTTATGCCCATAATTTGTTGTATTTAAGATGATCATAAGGGGGTTTTATATGTTTTAATTATTTAAGCGGACAAGCGTATGAGTGTTGGATGGCTAAAGCAAAGGCTTCAGTATCTACCTTCTCTCTACCTGTTACTGGATTTCTTCTCTCGCAGGAACCGGCAATGAATTTTCTCACAAAATTGATTAGTTGTCACTGCAAAGGATAGTAATGCCAGTGGCATCATGCTAATGGACTCACCCTTAGTTTTGACAACTCTGGTTTTGTTTAATGGGATTTGCAATACATATAGAATCTGGACCTTACTGTGTGACGGAAGCCTAAGACAGATTTTCTGTCCGTTTGTATTTCAGGGAACAAGTGTTCTTTCCCCAGGCCTGCACATTGGACTACTTATCACACTGGCGATTATGATCTATAAAAAGTCTACAACTCAGCTGTTTGAAAAACATTCCTGCCTGTATGTCTTGACATTTGGATTTGTGAATGCTAAAATCTCACAGAAGTTGGTGGTAAGGAATCTTCTTTCAGTCCTAAACATCCTAAAACTAAACTGGTTCTTGGCTTAACACTTGCTGGGTCAGTGGGCACTGTGCAAGTTTTCCCATTCTGTGCTGCCAATGTGTTACCAGTTTCATTATGACCAAGACACTGATCTAGGCTCGGGCTCCTACCGAGAGATCATATATGACACTGACGGTAATACATACTTACTGTTGAATGTATTGGTTAGAACTTCCAGTTTTGTTTAACTTTCTCCTAGAAATATACTGTCTGTCTTTAATATAACTGTGGTCCCTCAAGCCTTACTAACAGTGCTGTGACTTCTGATTTAGTTACCTGAAATAGGAATTTAATTATTAAACAGTAGAGATAAACATTTCTATCTTTGTCTTTTATAATGAAAAACCTCATCAATGGATTAAAAATAAAAAATCTGCCTTACTATGTATTTGCTAACAGTAATCCAGCCAGCTGATTTTTATTTTTTTTTCCCCAGCATGATATTTTTTCAAACACTAGAAAACAGGTATTCTACAGACTTTTTCTTGGTAAACTGGAGTGAGTTAAACCTAGTGAGCTACTAACTTGGTTCAAGAGAGAGAATGCTGATAAGAAGACTGATCCTCAGGGTTGAACTTGAGGCAGTTCACCTCATCTGTCAAACATTTGGCTCCCTTGCTCATTCAGAGGACCACTGGGTCCTTGTAACCAGCAGGCATCGCTCTGTGTGTGTCAGCTCACTCAGACACTTCTGAGCAAAGCCTGTTTCTCTCGATGTTTTAGGTGTAGCTTTGAGGATAGTCTGCTCACAAGGCAAATCTGTAAGGGTAGCAGGAAAAGGGTTTTGTGAGTTTAGCTCTCAGTGCTTTGGTACTATTTCAGGAGGCCTTGTCCTTCAGGCGCTCCAGAGTGAGCAAACTGCAGTGAAAGCTTAAGGTGTGAGCAGGTGGAGGCCGAGGGGAGGCAGGAGCCAGGGGCTGTGCGGTTTGTGTGGGTGTGCCAGAGCTGCCCCGTGGACACTAACCCTGTGTAGCTGTTGCACATCACGCCAGATGTGAGCCAGGAATTGTTCCCTGCAGCAGATCCCTTCAGCAGGAGAGATGCACCCTTAGCTGGCTTAGAGTGGGAGCCTTCGTCAGCTCTCCTCTGGCTGTAAGCCTTTGTGCTTTGTCTTGTTTTTAGACTGGGACACTCACAGGCTTGTCTGTGGATTTTGCTGTTCAGCGTAGAGTTGAACATGATTTATATTATGCTAAGTGACCACTTTGTTCACAGGAACCTCTCACTACTTTAATCACATTTTCCAAGTGTCCACAGTGCATGGAAACAAGGAGGGACAGGGTGATTTCTTACGGCAAACTTGGCACCTAGACTATTTTCCTTCTGCCATTTTTGAGCTTCCTGGAATGGACTTTTCATATGTCCTTTATTAGGTCTCCAACTTCTCACAAAAAAATTTCCTCTTCCACCTCTCAATTAAAGGTGGATCAAGGTGTGTGGGGCAAAGAGTTTCCTTCCCCCCCCCCCCCCCC